CTTTTCCCCACACCCCAAAATACAGTGGAGTCCGCTTGAATCTAACAAGTTTTTAAAAACTTAAAATCCAAAAACAGTGTTAAACAGAAAGAAAATACAATTTCCTCCCGATTTTTTCTTCACTATTTGAGTAATTTAATATCTGTAAGAAGATGGAGACATGGCTAAACCTAGAAAGTCTGGCAGTCCCACAGGTCTCCGTTAAGAAGACTCCGCTGTAATCCGTCCACAATGCCAGCCACTCGACCACGCCCACCAAATTCCTCACACACAGAATTATTTCCACCACAAACAGTTCATCATTGCTAGTGCAGTATGCTATCTATGACTTTCAAAATAAATGATCGCTAGTCGAGAAAGATCCATCAATTATAATATCTCTGTTCACGTCCTGCATGACACTGAAGTCTGTCTACAAAGTTTTTTTTCCTTCTTTCTTTCCCCGCGGCTCACACAGACACACACACCCTGTGACCATCCAAGAGTTTCAAAAATGACAAAGTTGGAACCAGTGGCTCCGGCTCCTCAGTTGGACCAAAAATCGACTGACCAACCAACCGACCGACTGAGCGACCGACCGATAAGTAAGGGTTATGAAAACGTAAATGCTGACCAAAAACCGAGGGCTTTGACTCATTAAACCCCAGCGGCTGTTCCCAGTGGCAAAAGCTTCTTCCAAACTGACGAGCGACAACTGCCAGCAGCATGTGTGAGATATGCACACAGGTATACAAGAGTTTCTCATCTATACAGTTATGAATATGAATAAAACTTTGTAGGAAGCTTGTCCGAGGGAAGCTGCACTCCTTCGTCTTCCTGTTTTTGTCCGTTCTTTGTCTCGGTCCAAGCATGTTGTGAAAGTAGTCCAATCGTGTTGTCGAAAAAAATTAATTCCCCATCACTTCCTGAAAATCACTTTCGGAGTCAAAGAATTAACATTTGATTATCATCACATATTCCGGTACATTTACAAGCTGGGATTCACTTCATTGTGCGCGTGAACATCAGTTCTTTTGATTATTATGCAGACACCAATCCCTCCACCTCACCCCCCCCAAACAATCACACACTGAGTGCCATGTCAATACCCAGTCAACATCCAGTGAACATCCAGTCAACATCCGGTGAACATTTGGTGAAATTCCAGTCAACATCCGGTCAACATCTGGTGAACATCCGGTGAACATCCAGTCAACATCCGGTGAACAATCAACATCCGGTCAAAACCCGGTCAACATCCGGTGCCAGACTCGGTGTTGGGTATCGCCACGGCGTCGTACTTAGGCACAAACTTGGACACGTTTCCCTCCTGTCCGCAAGGAGAAATGTTGTTGTTGTTTTTGCTGTCGCAGGAAGACGAGCCATTGTTTATGCCTTTCTTCCGCCACGAACTCATCTTGTCCGGACAATTTTTGCTTTCTGCCGCATTATTTTTGGAAACTTGTGAACCACTAGCCACCACATTGACGTTTACCGCCGGACCACCGAGGTGGCGTTGGGCTTCAACGTCCGCTGACGTCGCCGTCAGATGTCTATTGTCGCGACTTTCTTCGAGGGGCGGTGCGGTAGGACAGGTCTCGAACCTGGATCTGTCCGCGGCCGACAGATTGCACTCCTCCCCGACGGGGGCCACGCGAGGGCCGGCAGAAGACAGCTTGTTGAGTTCTGTGTCCGAGCCCGACTCTGAGCCTGTCGTCTTCATGTGACCTTGACCCCCGCCGCTACTAGACGAACTGGGGGAAAAGCAAGGGAGCTTATCCATCTTGACACACACAGAGTTCATGCAGATAACAATCTTTGACTGGTCATCCGGCTTATCCGTGCTGTAGTACCTTGAGAAAGAAAAAAACACACAACCATTTATTGAATATCTATTGTTTAAGTTTAACACACACAACCATTTATTGAATATTTATTGTTTAAGTTTAACATGTGAGGCGTGCTGACAAAATGAGTTACCTCTCTCAATCCACAACACAAATGGAGATATTGGCCAAAAATCAACACCAGGGTACAATTTGTAGATTTTCTATCGATGCCATATTCTTTAAGTATAACTTGTCTATCATTATTTCATACATATAAATTGTAAAAACTTCACCTATAAACGTGATGAACCGATTTCCATAGGGTTCGATTCCGAGAAGTAACTCATTTTGTCAGCTCGCTTCACATATAGTATGGTCCTGATTAAAAATCCCAAAACAATTTATAGAAAATAATACAGCAAGACCTACCCACCTGAGGGCCACAAGATTTTCTTTTTAAAATGTGGTAATTGGGGGTGGGGTGGGGGGGGGGTACTTTTCATTAATTGTCAGAGACAAATTAAATCTTGACATTTACGAGTTTAAAAAAAAAAAAAAACAAGGGTGGAAAAATAGAGCAGTTTGCTAAAAGGTCGTTTAGTATTTTTTCTTCTTCAGAGGGAAGGTACATATTCATGGAAAAAAGTATTTATTAGTACATACATTTATTGTACACTTCTATGTTATAATAAATAACTATTATTATGAAAAAAGACAAGTTGATAAGAAGGGAAACTTATTTACACAAAAGGAATAACTACATGAAACTAGAGTTTGTGGTTCTTTTTGAAGTGTCTTTGAGCAGTTTAGTTTAGTTTTCATTTTAGTAAGAGTTTTACAGCTCTTGCAATAGCAACACAAATAGGTCATTCATAAGTATCAAAGATTAGTGGTGTTGCTAGACAGTAGCATACAAAGAAAATAAGGAGGATGAAGAGATAAGGACAATAGATTACGTTTGAAAAGGATGAAGGACCAAACCACACCTGAGCACTCGCCAACCGCCCACAGATATATATATATATA